GTGAGATGATATCTCATAGTTGTTTTGATTTGCATCTCTCTTAGAGCTAGGGATTTTGAACATTTCTTCATGTGCTTGTTGGCCATCTGAATGTCCTCTTTGGTGACGTGTCTCTTCATAGCCTGTGCCCATTTTTCAATTGGGTGTTTACCTTTATATTGTGGTGGAGTTTTCAGTATTTTTGATTGCATGTTTTATATGTGTGCTGCTAACAAAAATGTCTGCAGTTCAAATTCACCAGCAGCTCCAAGGGTGAAAGATAGTCACCTGACGGACATTGTTGAAAGGCCCGAGTTGGAAGTGACTCCACAGCAGTGGGTTTGGTTGGATTTTTTGTGTTTTCTTTATAATGTTTTGGTTTATTAAATATCACTGGAAACCATTTAGTGCCAACAAAACTGAGTCTTTCCTGCATTTCAAATGAAAGCATGAAAATACATCCCTTTATAAAAACAAGGCAAAACAAAAAAATCCCAACTAGTCATATCCAGCAATAATGCAAGATTGAAATGTAGAGATTTCTCAAATTGATGGCTACTGTAGAAAACTATATAGGAACAGGTAGACAGCTGTTGCCTTCCTAACCAAAGGCATTAAAAGGAACATCTGACACATACATCCAGATATGTTTTGGGGAGAATGTCCTTATACAAATGGCATTTTAACAAGTTAATTCTGAAAATAACCATCATAAAAACTAGAAGACTAAAACCAGAGGAGGGGCTAGAGGACATTAACTCAACTCACCTTTTTGGGCAATGTCCTTCCCAAGGCCACACCTGGGGTGGAACAGAAGAGCCCGATGGTCACACCAGGAGTGGCAAAAGAGGATCTGTCGCTTGCCACAGCAATGTCACAGCTGGCAACCAGCTGACAGCCAGCAGCAGTGGCCAAGCCGTTCACCATGGCGATGACTGGAACTGGGTGGTTCTGGATCTGCATCATGACCTGAAAGAGGAAACACACCATGTCACTTGTCCAAGAATGAAGTCCAATATTAAAACCTATTGTTGTAGAGGACTTTGCACGCTTTCAAGTACCTTTGATAAGCATTAGTTTACCAAACTATATTTTTTAATAAGAACAAAATGAACTTTTTAGTTGCCACCATGTTGACTGTAACTCATGTCAACATAGAAATGTACTTTATAGAGTTTTCAATGGCTGTGACCATTCAAAAATAGGTTGCCCACATTGCCTTCCAAGGTGCTAACCTTTCATGTGGAAATCGAGTGCCTCAACATTTGCACCATCTATGGGCTCCATAAAAAGAATTGAGTTGTATTACCTGTCTACCATGATCCAGCCTATCAGAGTTGGTCTTCCTGAGAATGTCAGGAGGAAGGAACCCTATTTTACCACAAGGACACCAAAATTCAAAGAGGGAAAGTGCCTTTCCAAAAGTCACACAACCTCTAAATGGTAGGTATGGGATTTGAACTTGTGTTGGTCTGACTTCCCATGTCCAAGCTCCTACCACCACAGCATAGTGCATATGTGAGATTATATTTCACTGAGTAGTGTCATAGACTGAATCATGTCTTCTTAAAATATGTGTTAACTGGGCTAGGCTCAAACTAAATATTTCAAGCTTCCTGCCATCAAGTTGGAACAGATTTATAGCTGACCATCCAGTGGGTTTTAGAGGCTATAAATTACACAGAAGGAGACTGCACATCTTTCTCCTGTGGAGGAGCTGATGGAGTCAAAACACCCACCTTTGAGTTGGCAGCACAACCCCCTATCCATTAGGCCACCAATGCTCCTCCAGGGCTAGACTCAGCATAATGTAATTTCTTCTGTGTGGTACACCTGTGTTGTAACATCATAACTTCTATGATGTTAATTAGTGAGGTAGAATTAGAGACAATTTGTAATGATGCACGTTTCTGCATGCTATGATCTGAGTTGTGATTAGCCAACCAATTTTAAGGGGATCAGAGTGGGATGCAATATACTCCATAATTAATTGTCCTCCTCTGATAAAGGGAGAATTTTCTTAGGCTGCAAAACCTTTTGTCTTATGGAAGATAAAAGGAAAGAGGAGGCAAATAGAGGGGGAGTGACTTCCATATGTACATGAAAGAAGACCTGTAGTATAGCACATCCTCTCAACCAAGGTTCTGGTTCTAGGAGCTCCTAAATCCAGGGGCAGGCCCAGACATAATGGAGATCTCTAAGAAAAGCCAGGCCTACAGATGAAGAAGGAAACAAAGATCTCTTCCAGAACTGACAAAGAGCAAACTCTTTCCCCTAGAGCCGCCCCCCCCCCAAATTTGAACTTCTAGCCTCCTAAACTGCAAGAGAACACATTTCTCTTTGTTAAAGCCAAATGCCTGTGGGTGTCTTTGATTCAGCAGCACTGATAACTAAGAGGAGCAGCCTCAGTGAAGAAAAGTACTAATTATTGAGATTTTTTTGTTGTTGTTTTGTTTTTTTAATTTCCAGAGAACAAGAAAACAAAATCTTTCACAAACAGTTCATTTTAACTATGCCTATTTATATCTCTTGTGCTAAAAGTCAGAAACTGGTATTTGGTACCTTCTTGAAAAATTTAAGTAGAAAGGAGGCTTGAAGGAAATTTTCTTCCTAATTACTTCTCAAATTACAAATTACCACTATGAACACTCTTTCTACTCAATTAAAATGGGGGGAGAGGGTACACCCTGCTGTCATCAAAATGAACAGAATTCCTTACACTGAGCCCAGGGCAATGCCAGGAAAGGCACATAGTTGTTTCTGTCATCCCTTCTCAATAAATCTTCAGAACTTTAACTTATTTTTGCAGCTTACAAAATAACTTACTTGATTTCTCCACTTTTTCATGACACACTAAACAGATTTTGTTGCTATGGTAACTTCATCTTAAAAAATTGTTGCTCTTTGAACTTTCACAGGGATGGGAGAGGACAACAAGGAAATCTGAGCTTGCTTCCCTAAGGCCGTGATCCAAAGGAAACCTGATTTCGAGATGTTGCTTCAGAAACCTACCTTTCATATTGATAAATATTTTATATCTGTTAGCTTTATTATAAAATAAGCATTTAAGAATACAATATCCTGTTCTAAAACAGTTGTTCTTGATTCTTTAAAGAGGTCACCTTTTGAGAGCTAGATGACTGCTAAAGACCACCTCTGTAGAAAAATGCATGACATTTTCACTAATTTAGAGCAGGCACACACTCTAGGGAACATTTTAGTGGTATGGTGGTTAAGAATCTGGCTGCTAACTGGAACCCAGTGCAGCTGGAACCCAGCGCAGTTGGAATAGGCCTGAGAACTGGAATTTGAGTAAGATTCTGCATGTGCTCAATCGTGCTACACAACTTGCCTGCCACCAGCTCGACGCACTATGCCCTGCACCTACCTCTACACGACTCACCCTATGCCTGCCTCTACGCACTGCACCCTGTGTCCACTTCTATGCCACTCGCCCAGCACCCTCCAGCCTGTACCCTCTGCCCACCTCTACACTTCACCCACCTCTATGCTCCACCCACCTCTACTCAGTGACTTCAGATCAAGAAACTATCATCACCTCAGGCATGAAAAACTCTACCACAGTGACATCACAAAAGAAACAGGCCATCTCACAAACTACACAAGCACAAAGCAAGATGTCACCCCAAAAAAGTGACACAATTCTAATAGATTTCCTAAGGCCAGATAGTTAGATGGAACTTTCTGACAAAGAACTTAAAAGAACAATCGCTTCTTGGCCTTTTGGCTAAGATCAAGTGTAAAAGGACAATGATTGAATAGTTTCAATGTGTGAAAGACAAACCTGAAGAATTACAGGATACTGCAAGCAAAAACCAGGAGGAGCTTAAAAAAAATTCCAAAACAATACAGATAAAATAAAGGAGGCATTCGAGGCTCTGGATAAAGAAGAAATCGTGATCCAAAATACGAGGGCCAATGTTTCAGATGCTTTCAACATGATGGAGGGACACATGAAGAGAGTTGAAGAGATGGAATACGGACTCAGTGAAATAGAAGATAGAATTGCTACCACTGATCTACAAAAAGTAGGATCAAAAAGGAAGGAAAAAGAAGAACACCTAAGAATAATGTGGGACATCATCAAGATTAATAACATGCACATCATTGAATCCCAGAATAGGAAGATTGTTTTTTGTTGTTGCTGTTGTTGTTATGTGCCATCGAGTCACTTGCAACTCATAGCGACCCTATGTACAACATCCCTAAACTCTGCTCTGTCCTGTGCCAATCGCACCATCTCTGATACACCCATCCTGATTACCCCAGTCACTGAATCAATCCACCTCAAAGGGGGTCTTCCCCTTCTGCACTGTCCCTCCACCCTACCAAGCATGATGCCCCTCCCTCTCCAAGGACCTGTCCCTCCTTGCAACATATCAAAAGTATGTTAGATGGAGCCTCAGAATCCTTGCCTCCAAGGAGCCACCTAGTTTAACCCTTTCCAGGATGAATCTGTTTGTTTTCCTAGCAGTCCATGGTCCAGAGTCCTCAATACTCTTCTCCAGCACCACAGCTCAAAGGCATCAATTCTCCTTCTATCCTCCTTAGGCATTGTCCAACTCTCTGATGCATAACAAGTGACTGCAAAGTCCATGGCCTGTATCAGACACAACTTAGTCTCCAAAGAGACATCATTGCTCTTCAGTACTTTGGAGAGGTCCCTAACAGCAGATTTTCCCATGGCAATATATCTTCTAATTTCCTGGCTACTGATGCCAAGAGTGTTAACTCTGGAGCCAAGCAAACTGAAGCTGTGAACAATCTCAATCTCTTCACCATCCGTCCTGATGCTGCCAGTTGGTCCAGTGGTGAGAATCTTTGTCTTCTTGACTTGAGTCCATATTGAAGGCTGCAGTCCTGCAAGCGCTTCAGGTCCTCCTCAGTTTCAGCAAGCAGGGTTGTGTCATCTGCATATCGCAGATTGTTGATAGCTCTTCCACCAGTCTTGACCCCACATTTCTCTTCATAGAGCCCAGCCTCCTGGATAATCTGTTCTGCATACAGGTTGAAAAGGTATGGAGACAGGAATCCCTGGCATACATCCTTCCTAATTTTGAAACATGCAGTGTTTCCTTGCTTTGTTCTGACAACTGCCTCTTGGTCCCAGTAGAGTTTTCTCATTATGCACGATCAAGTGTTCTGGTATTCCCATTCTTCTCAGAGTCAGCCACAGTTTGTTATGATGCACACAGTAAAACGCCTTTGCATAGAATAGGAAGAAGCAAGTAAAAAAAATTGTGGAAGAATTTATAAAGAAACTTCCCTGGGATAATGAAGAATAACAGAATATATATTCAAGAAGCTCAGAGAACACCATATAGAATGGACCCCAAAAGAAAAACACCAAAGCATATCCAGAAACAAAGATAAGGAGAGAATCCTGAAAGCAGCAAGGGAGAAACAAAGAGTAACCTATAAGGGAGAGCAGATAAGACTAAGTGCTGATTTCTCAGCAGAAAACATGCTAAAAAGAACACAGTAGAATGACATTAATATTGAACATTCAACACAACTGCCAACCAAGAACATTGTACCCAGAGAAATTGTTCATCAAATATGAAGGAGTGATCAAGATATCCCCAGAAAAACAAAACTTATGGGAGTTTGTACAAACAAGACCAGTGTTGCAAGAAACATTGAAAGATATCCTTCTTACAGAGGTGCTACAGAAAGCAGGATGGACCAACATAATTACCAACAACACCAAGAAGTACTCAACACAATGATAGCAATAAAATAGAATCTTTCAATAATCACATTGAATGTGAATGGTTTAAATACACCAATTAAGAGAAAAAGAGTAACAGATTGACAAAAAACCCAAATCCATCAATATGCTGTCTACAAGAAATATGCCTGAAAAGTGAAGATAAAGACTAAAAATAAAAGGGTGGGGAAAATATACCAAGCAAATGGCAACCGAAAAATGCTAAGAGTAGTGATAT